TCAGAATGAGGTCTGTCAGATGATAAGTCAACAATTGTATAATTTGGTTGCTATGAACTAGTAAATAGATGTCTGTCTGATATTTGTCATATTGCAGTGACACCATTTTCAGATTCCAGTGGTCAAGTGAAGTCAGGTCCACCTGACAGATTTCATTTGACCAGTGAATTGACTTTCTAAAGTTTAAAAGCTCATTGACCTTTTGATTCAGGTTGATTGTTGTTTTCCTAAATCCATAGACCTTTTGACAAAATAATCCATATTTCAGCTAAAATGAGATTGTTAAGTGTTTCAATTCTTATTTGTTAAATTGCTTCTGTCTTGAATATGGCCAAAATAGTACTTGGTGTGAAACACTTACAATGTTTTAAAATTTGTATTTTATATACTCAAACATTTTATTTCATGATAAGACCATAAAAAAATACACTCAAGTTTTATGGAGAAATGTAGGATTGTGTGCACAAGTAATAGCAGGTAGCAAGTAAGGAATTTATATTTTAAAATCAGTTTTATTGTGTAGATAGATTGATTTAAGACAGACAATTTTATAGTATTTGTTTTATTGATTGATCAGCAGACTTATGTTGTTTTTGCACTCCTGTTCAGTGTTGTCTTTTAGGTTAATGCATTAATTTATTTGTCTTGTTTATAAAGTGAAGGATGGATGAACCCTTCCTAGTTATTGAGTATAATTATTGAATATCTGGGGTTCTGATGGAAGGACATGTTTCATCTATAAACTATATTGTAATCAATATACTCCCACAATTAGTTGTTACATCATGGTTATGGAACTGTCCTTGTATTTTTTTAGGGAATATACATTACAAGTGAAAGTATTTCTGGATTTTAATTGAACTGGGTAAAATGTCTGTTGTATATAATTTTTCATCATTGATGTATAAACCCATGGGTCATGGGTCATGGGTCATGGGTTTATACATCTATGCTTTTATATACACTGAACATGATACTTATTGCTTTCATCATTTGGAACTGTTAATGTGCAAAGTTTTAGAAACAATTTAAATGTATATTTTGTTGAATGAACTCCCATGCCAATTTTATAGTTTTCTGAAAATGTGGTAAACCTCTCCTTTTATATATTTTACAAAAGGTCATGAAACTAAAGATCAAAATAAAATCCTCTTATACAGATGTTTTGTTTCATATTCATAAATAAAGGTTTATATTAGGAAGTTGAATGCTGGTTAAAAATTTTAATGGTAGATATTGAAAATGTGAATAATGTGTAAACATTGTAATAAATCCCATGCTTATGATATGAAGATTATTTATAAATGAACCTTTTTTTCACACAGAACACCCTCTGTATTTACCAAATGTTCTGGATAAGCCTCATCTATCATCTTTTTTCAAATTATATAAAACATAAAAAGGATAACAGGAATTAATTTGTACACCAGTTTATATATTTATTAATAATCCAAAGACAATCTAACTTCTGTGTCCTGTATGCTTAAACAGAGTAAAACATTTTATTCAGATGTGTCCATTTACTTTTTTTATTTCATTTCAATGCAGTTTTATATAGAATGTATTGTGAAGAACAGTATTTGATAATATTTTGTCCCAGGACATACAGCATTACAGCTTTTAGGCATCATGTGTGGTGGTCCTAAATAATTTCAGGACCTTTATACATTGTTTATATAAAGACATTCTGAATTTTTGAGACTTCAAATATATATCTAAGACATAAAACCAAAAGTACACCTCCCAGGGTTATAAGGATAATAAAAATGACTTCCCTTGTTCATGTATGTATATTTCTTATTCCATTTAAGTGCATATTTCTTGAAAGATCCAGAAGGTACTTTACAGTGTTATCTTAGGTGTCTATCTTGAAAATTAAGACATTTAGAAATAAATGCCATAAAAAATAAAGTAATGATTATCAGTGAAACATTCATCAAAATTTTACTAGTATTTATCTGTCTGTTAACTATCAGTGATAAGATAGAAAGTAAAAACATCTTCTTGTACTGAAACTTGGCCAGCAATCAATATCCTGTTTGTCTTTAAATTTGAAAAAAAGTCAATTGAAATAAAGCAAAAATAATTTTAAGATAAATCTTATAATTAGTGAAAATATTACAGTACTGAAACTTGGCAGAATTTTTGAATATTTTTTCTAAGAATTTTATTTTCATGCATGTAATTGATAAGTGAAAATCTTCCAGTTTAATGCTTTTATTAGGTCATTTTAATATTTACTGACTTAAAATTGCAAAATAATTGAATTTGATCATTGAGCTGTTATATTATGCATTAGATAAGGTAATTAACACAATATAATTGTTGCAGGTGAGTGACTGATGATTTCAGAAAGGTCACATAATGTGAAACCATTGCTCCATATTGTTCAGTGCCATTGTCCTTGCACAAGGGTTCAAATTTGCTTTAAATAATGAAAGGGCCAAGACCTATAAAGGATAGTGTTAAGAATAAGAGGTCTTTGACTTTCATAATTCAAAAATGAAAAGTCTCCTCCTAGAAAAGACAGGTCTACTGGACCCTATTATTTGAACCATTGTTGCAGTATCAAACTACCTTTTACAATGTGCATATTTGCTAGATCATGGAAGTAATATTTAAAAGGAATAACAACGACTAATTAGCATGTATTAATAGCCTGCAGAGCTCTGTACTAAAGTCATATGATTTTATCCAATTATAGTCTCAGCGGCAAGACCCCTTTGGTTACTATCTGTGATACCGCGGTTGTAAAATGGCATCTGGAATTTCTTATCAGTCACATGATTTTATCGAGTCCGGTAATTATAAAGCACCTGTGTGAAATCCGAGGTTTATTAATAAGAAGGTGGCGCTGTATCATATAAAACCTCTACCTTCAGAAAGAAGTTGTATGATGTAAAAAACTTGAAAAACGGACGAAAATTGTTCAATCTACAACAGTTTAGCATGGAAAATTGTATTTAATTTAGCATATTTTTGCTTTTTACCGTTTGTTTTAAACTGTTCTTAAAGTATTTTCTGGTGAAAAGCGTATCCCGAGTTAAACAGTTAAATACCGATGAATCGATCAGGTTTCACATGATGTTTAACAAAATAATGTAGACAAATCTAGACATAGATTTTTTATACGACCGCAAAAAAATTTTTGTGGTCGTATATTGGTATGACGTTGGCGTCGTCGTCATCGTCGTCGTCATCGTCTGGCGTCAACCGGCGTTGTCCGAAGACACATTGGTTTTCGCACTCTAACTTTAGTTAAAGTGAATGGATCTCTATGAAAGTTTAACACAAGGTTCAATACCACAAAAGAAAGGTTGGGATTGATTTTGGGGGTTATGGTACCAACAGTAAAGGAATTAGGGGCCAAAAAGGGGCCAAAAATAAGCATTTTTGTAACTTCCAGACATAACTTGTGTGTTAGTGTATGGATCTCTGTGACATTGTACCACAAGGTTACATATCACAAAAGGAATGCTGGGATTGATTTTGGGGGTAATTGCCTCAAAATTTTAGAAATTAGGGGCCAAAAAAGGGGCAAAAAACAAGCATTTTTCTAGTTTCATGACAATAACTTGTGTGTAAGTGTATGGATCGTTCTGAAATTGTACTTCAAGGTTCAATATCACAAAGGGAAAGCTGGGTTTGAGTTTGGGGGTAATTGCCCTAAACGTTTAGGAATTTGGGGCCAAAAAGGGGCCAAAAAACACATTTTTCTAGTTTCCAGACAATAACTTGTGTTCAAGTTTATGGATCTCTCTGAAATTGTACTGCAAGGTACCATACCACAAAGGGTTTTTCCATTTTAAGTTGGTTATTTCTGATTTATATTTAAAAGCAAATAATAATGATATGGTAGGAGATACACACCAAACAGGATGTGTAAATTATTATATAATAAGTATTGTGCAATAGCAAGAAATTTTCAATTGCACAGTATTGCACAATAGCAAGAAATCTTCAATTGCACAGTATTGTGCAATAGCAAGAAATCTTCAATTGCACAGTATTGCGCAATAGCAAGAAATATCCAATAGCACAATATTGCGCAATAGGAAGAAATTGTCAATTGTACAGTATTGCGCAATAGCAAGAAATATTTAATTGCACAGTATTGTGCAAAAGAAGATACTTCGTATAAATTGCTTATTTCTTGACCAATTTCAATGGGGTTTTATTCTTGAATTCTTGGGGTTCTTTAATATGCTGAATCTAACCGTGTATTAAGTTTTTGGATTTTGGGCCCTGTTTTTAAATTGGTCCACATTGAGGTCCAAAGGGTCCAAAATTAAACTTTGTTTGATTTCATCAAAAATTGAATTATTGGGGTTCTTTGATATGCCGAATCTAACCGTGTATTTAGATTCTTAATTTTTGGTTCCGTTTTCAAATTGGTCTACATTAAGGTTCAAAGGGTCCAAAATTAAACTAAAGTTGATTTTAACAAAAATTGAATTCTTAGGGTTCTTTGATATGCTGAATCTAAACATGTATTTAGATTTTTGATTATGGGCCCAGTTTTCAAGTTGGTCCAAATTGGGGTCCAAAATTAAACTTTGTTTGATTTCAACAAAAATTGAATATATGGGGTTCTTTGATATGCTGAATCTAACCATGTACTTAGATTTTTGATTTTTGGGCCCCGTTATCAACTTTGTCCACATTGAGGTAAAAAGGGTCCAAAATTAAACTTTGTTTGATTTCATCAAAAATTGAATTCTTGGGGTTCTTTGATATGCTGAATCTAACCATGTATTTAGATTTTGGATATTGGACCATAATAGGTGAATGTCCAATTTAAAATTTTTAAGTTCTTAGACCACATTCATTCTGTGTCAGAAACCTATGCTGTGTCAAATATTTAATCACAATCCAAATGCAAAGCTGTATCCAGCTTGAATGTTGTGCCCATACTTGCCCCAACTGTTCAGGGTTCGACCTCTGCGGTCGTATCAAGCTGTGCCCTGCGGGAGCATTTTATTTACTGTTGAAGTGTGCAAAGTTTATCGAGAAGTATTCTAAATTTATGTATATGTCATAAATGTCATTGATTACATTATTGAAACTGGACAGCTAAAATAGGGATAATATGTTCGTAAACATATATTTTTTTAAAAAGTGTTTATTGTGGAATACTTGTATTAATATAACAAGCTACAGCAAAAATTAAAACAAACCGACAAAATGAGCTTGACGCTATCTGTCTTACGGCAAATTCATTTTTACAGGAATTAGTTTATGTATCAAGAACTATAAATTAAAGGATAGAACCATTTAGAATTGTGAATATTTTAATTGACTAATACACGAAAGACTTAGATTATTCGTATTTAATAAAAGGGGGTCCAAACGTATTTTTTGTACAATCATCTTCTTAACTTACGGAAATGGCTTTTTAACTGTCTGTAAATATTAAAATTGAAAATGACCCAGCCTTGTTCTCCAATTTCATATGTGATAGCTGTCGGTACTATTAAGATCGAACTAACCAGAAATAGGAAAATTGGACTAAAATTAAAATTGAACGAATGACTCTATTCGGCAGTGTACATCAACGGAATGTAACGAATGGAGTATTCGGGTTACTTCGCACGTATATACGACAAAATTACTTCCATGGCTAGATTAAGTAAGAATATTTTTCGAATTCTGATGTATTTTTAATTTCAATAATGATTGATTAATGAAAGTTTAATATCTAGTGGAAAATATGACATTATTGATTCATTATATATATATAAAACACCAAAAATTTCTAGGTTTTGATATTCCTGAAGAAGAAGAGTTATGATGTAATTTTATCCAATATAGACTGATCATTATATCCAATATAGACCGATCATTATATCCAATATAGACTGATTATTATATCTAATATAGACTGATCATTATATCCAATATAGACTGATTATTATATCTAATATAGACTGATCATTATATCTAATATAGACTGATCAGATCATTATATCTTATATAGACTGATCATTATATCCAATATAGACTGATTATTATATCTAATATAGACTGATCATTATATCTAATATAGACTGATCATTATATCCAATATAGACTGATCATAATATCCAATATAGACTGATTATTATATCCAATATAGACTGATCATTACATCCAATATAGACTGATCATTATATCCAATATAGACTGATCATTATATCCAATATAGACTGATCATTATATCTAATATAGACTGATCATTTTAATGTTTTAAAGTACAGAATCTATCACAAAATCTTGCTCTGCAATTCTAGTATTCATTACATATTTTTTTGGTAATTTTTAAAATAAAAATGTTGTATAACTTCGAGTATAAACATTCAGTGTTGATCATGGGACAATAGAAATTGATAAAGCATTTGATTGACTTGGATCAGAAGGCGGCTTGATGTTTGTCTCAAGGGAAATTAAATGAAGACTCACAACTGTGAAGGAAATAAGAATATTGTTAACAATGATCTAGTTATGTGCCTTACGGGAATTGCTGTCTTTTCTTTCATCTCACCAGAACGTATTTCATAAAACAAGTGTTTTTTTTCCAGATGTTGTTGATCTGACCACTTCCACACTTTTGAAATGTACCATGATACATTTTCTTCAAAACAGTAATAGGATCAGGAAAAAAAGTCTAACTTACAAATTACAGCTCAATCCTGTCTCAGGTTGGAGGGTGGATCAGTGTGAAAAGGGGATAATAATACAAAAGATTATATTCTAAATAGAATGTAAGTCCAATAAATCTTTCAAAGTATGCTTGAATTAAAGACCAATATTCCCCTGACAAAGTACCTGTGAAAACAAATATAAGATAGCTTTGGGACAATTGAACTAGGACAAATTTGAAACCCTCACACAAATAGATCAGCACTTATATATTGTGCAGTTGAATACTTTTTTGTGGGAATATTCATTTTAAAAGGTCTCTGACTGTTGCCTTTCTTATTTTAAATAAGTTATAGGAATGCTGCTGTGTCAGTCAGTGTCCTATTGGCCACATTCCTTATTTGTTTTTGTCACATCTTTGTGGCTATAATTGACAGCAAAGATGAAAATATATCAGTTGTTTTAGCCTTTCATTAGAATGAACATAAATTCTAGAATGGATGTCTGGTATTTATATTATAAAACATTGTCAGCTTAGTGGACATTTCTCTAATCCAAGGAAAAATTTGTCAATGAATCAATGTCTTAAGCAGTGATGTGCAGATCTTGTGTGTTATTGAATTATACATAGAAATATTAGATTATAGGTTCTTGGAAAATGTCATTGTACAGAATGTCTTTCACAGGGACTTTCTGTAATTACTTGTCTATCTCTTGAATGTAATCTTGTCAAAATAGCATATCCAAATGAGAGGGAGTATAATAAAAAGATTATTTGGTGGTCAATAGGATCAAGGTTACATATTTACGTGCAACATTTTTTTATCAAGAGCTATTATATGTATGTAAATTGTTTCTGTTCATTTAAACTAAATAAAATAGACTGCAAGCATGAAAATAGTAAATTTTTAATCATGTTGCTTTTTATACGCTGGTCAAAATTTTGATGGGACGGGACGTATTTTGGTATACAAATGTCTGCCGTCCGTCTGTCCGTCTGTCTGGCGTCCACATGTCGCACCGTAACTTGAGGACGACTTATCAAAATTTCATGAAACTTAACATAGTTGTTTCTTATGATGGTCAAACGATCTGTATACTTTTTGGTGAAAATAAGATTAGAACTTTTTGAGTTACGGGACTTAGTAACTAAAACAGGTGTGTGTTTTTTTTCACATGTCGCGCCATATCTCAAAAACAATTTATGATTATTGCTTAAAACTTTACACACTTCTTAGTTATATTAATCAAAAGATCTGTATACTTTTTGGTGATGATTCAAAATTTTATTTTAGAGATATTGAGTATTTTGTTAAAAAAGGGGAGGGGTTTTTCACAAGTCGCACCGTATTTCAAAAAGGATTTATGATTATTGCTTAAAATTTTACACACTTCTTAGTTATATTAATCTAAAGATCTGTATACTTTTTGGTTTTGATTCAAAATTTTATTTTTGAGATATTGATTTTTTTTTTTTAAAAGGGGGGTTTTTACATGTCGCGCCCTATCTCAAAAACAATTTATGATTATTGCTTAAAATTTTACACACTTCTTCGTTATATTAATCTAAAGATCTGTATACTTTTTGGTTTTGATTCAAAATTTTATTTTAGAGATATTGAGTTTTTTGTAAAAAAAGAAAGGGGGTTTTCGCATGTCACGCCGTATGTCAGAAACTATTTATGCTTATTGCATAAAAATTCACACACAAGACGACGGGCGTATCATGCACTCATGGCGCAGTTGTTTATTTCACATGTCGCGCCGTATCTCAAAAACGATTTATGATTATTGCTTAAAACTTTACACACTTCTTAGTTATATTAATCTGAAGATCTGTATACTTTTTGGTGATGATTCAAAGTTTTATTTTAGAGTTATTGAGTTTTTTGTAAAAATAGGGGGGTTTTCACATCATGCCCTCATGGCGCAGCTGTTTATTTCACATGTCGCGCCGTATCTCAAAAACGATTTATGATTATTGCTTAAAACTTTACACACTTCTTAGTTATATTAATCTGAAGATCTATATACTTTTTGGTGATGATTCAAAGTTTTATTTTAGAGTTATTGAGTTTTTTGTTAAAAAAGGGGGGTTTTCACATCATGCGCTCATGGCGCAGCTGTTTATTTCACATGTCGCGCCGTATCTCAAAAACGATTTATGATTATTGCTTAAAACTTTACACACTTTTTAGTTATATTAATCTGAAAATCTGTATACTTTTTGGTGATGATTCAAAGTTTTATTTTAGAGTTATTGAGTTTTTTGTAAAAAAAGGGGGGTTTTCACATGTCGCGCCGTATCTCAGAAACGATTTATGATTATTGCATAAAACCTCACACACAAGATGACGGGTGTATCATGTGCTCGTGGCGAAGCTGTTTATTTGAAGATATCACATGAAAGATTAAAAATCATGAAAGGTTAAAAATTATGGGCAAAAGCAGTTAAACTACCCCTTATGGTACATGTGACAAATAACTGTCATGTAATTCCTGGCTAAATTTACACAAGATGTCAATATTTCTGATTTTTTTGTCTATTGAGAATTTTGTGCTAAATGTTTGATCAGCTTATAATGTACAATTTATTCAATAACTTGTCTAGACTTTGGACTATATGTACACATGTAGGTGCTCGTTTTAAGTGTTGTAGACTTTGGACTATATGAACACATGAGGGTGCTTGTTTTGTGTTGAAGACTTTGGACTATATGTACACATATAGGTGCTTGTTTAGTGTTGAAGACTTTGGACTATATGTACACATGTGGGTGCTTGTTCAAGTGTTGAAGACTTTGGACTAATATGAACTCATGTGGGTACTTGTTTAGCATTGAAGACTTTGGACCTTTATTGTACACATGTGGGTGCTTGTTTAGTGTTGAAGACTTTGGACTATAATTGTACACATGTGGGTGCTTGTTTAGCGTTGAAGACTTTTGACTAATATGAACACATGTGGGTGCTTGTTTAGTGGTGAAGACTTTGGACTATATGTACACATGTGGGTGCTTGTCTAGACTTTGGACTATATGTACACATGTGGGTGCTTGTCTAGACTTTGAACTATATGTACACATGTGGGTGCTTGTCTAGAATTTGGACTATATGTACACATGTGGATGCTTGTTTTAGTGTTGAAGACTTTGGACTATATGTACACATGTGGGTGCTTGTCTAGACTTTGGACTATATGTACACATGTGGGTGCTTGTCTAGACTTTGAACTATATGTACACATGTTGATTCTTGTCTAGACTTTGGACTATATGTACACATGTGGGTGCTTGTTTAGTGTTGAAGTCTTTGGACTATATGAACACATGTGGGTGCTTGTTTGGTGTTGAAGACTATACTGCAACCTTAGAAGGCATCTGTTATTATGCCCTCGCCGTAGCAGAGGGGGCATTAAGTGTTACCCTTGTCCTTCCTGTCTGTCTGTCCGTCCCGTCCGTCATTAATTCCCAAAAATTGGTTTCCGTTCTCTTATTTTAGTTTGCCTCAACCAAATGTTATAAAACTTATACACAATGCTTATTACCACAAAACACAGATCAAGTTTGAAATTGGGTGGCGTCACTTTTACCGTTCTTGATAAATGGAAAAATTGCTTAATCTGTCGTTTCCGTTCTCTAACTTTAGTTTGCCTCAACCAAATATTATGAAACTTATACACATTGCTTATAATCACAAAATTGTCTTAACTACATCTGAATCCTGCATCTGTATGTGGAAGTTGACTCATGCATATTTACAAGCAGGGGCATCTGTGGCCCATAGACACATTCTCCATTTATTTGGTATAACTTGTGTTGTTGTGTAGTTGTCTTACAACATTTTATTCCACATTATCTTTTATTGTTTGTGTATATTGGGACATTCTAATTCAAGTAGATCAACCCAGGTTTTACAGCTGACTATGCTCAACCTTTTTCTTAAATAACAATAATTACTAGGTTCATATTTATCACAAAATTTATATTTTTGTACAGATTTTTAAAGTACAAGTACTCTCCTGTTATAAAATTAAGTATCAGAGAATTATAAAGACAATGTATCAAGATCTGGAATTTATGGTTTCAAGTCTTACAACATAGTAATTTTTCTGTGTTATCAATGTACTTAGACTTTTTTTTTTTCCAATTTGAGCATGGATATTAACAAATCAAACCAAACAGGGCCATGACCGTTGTATGCATCCTACATAGCTGGACAGAGTCAGCAAGAATTGTTATGCAAGTTTGGGCCTGGGACAGGTCAATTATTCTTTAATTCATTTCAGTTGAATTTGGTCAACCTTAAATTTCATATATTGAATAATCATAAAAATACTGGACAGTACATTTTCTGACCACATCAACTACCAACACCCAACTCCTATAAAAAAAGCACAGAATCAACAACAAACCAAACCAACAACAACCAACACATGGTCCTGATAGCATGAATTAATAAAGGCACAAAATATTACCCTTCAAACTTTGAAGCTTTTTTGTGGATTAAAATTTATAAAAGTGCATTTAATTTTTTTTTTTAAATCTCAGACAGTGAGTGAATAGCAAGAATTAAATATTTTTTTAATATTCTTATACTGAAATAACTATTGAATAAAATAATACTCTAAATTCAGAAATTATTGCGTACATTTATTTTTGTGATTTTCGAAGAATTAAAAAAATGCAAGATATAGTATTGTGATTTCAGGAAAAGCTGCATATTATTGCAATACTCACCCAAACACATTATTCGCATTAATAAAAATCTCTGAATATATCTGAATTTACAATACTCTTTATTATCAGATTCTTGAACAGTGTGGTTGAAGAAATACATTAGACTTGGTGTGTCACTGTAAAATCATTTCTTCAGCCTCTGGCTTATACAGGATAATCAGTCACTGATGCACTATTTCCTTGTGGTATAATTATTACAGATATCATGAAATTTGAAGCTAAAATTAGCAAATTTGTTATCAGTGATTAAAAAACTTCAACTTAGCCAGAGGGTGAAAATGTTTGTTAATAATTAAAATGTAAGTGCAGATGACTTGTTTAGCTGATATTGTGGGTGTACTGTCCATTTTCGTATGTTTTGTTTATTACAGAATACTTGATGA